TGTTTGTGTTTTTTCCCCTCCTGACTCTTGGACTCTCCAGGGGGGGGGGGGAGGCCTGGCGAGGGCCCCTCTGGGAGGCCGCAGCCGGCTCGGAAGCCCTTCCGCCGCGGTGCGCTCCGCGAGGCGAGCGCGGCTGGGGCCCCGAGGGGGTCCTCGTCGGTCTCCGCGGCCATGTTGGTGGTGTCGTTGGCGCCGACGACCAGGCAGACGTCGGCGTTCGGCATGTCGTCCTCGGGGCGCGGCCCGACTGCCTGCCAGGCCACCCCAGGCCACAGCCCGAAGGCCCGCCTTTCGGGTTGGGGCCCGGGGGGGGGGGGGCGGGTTTCATATGTGTTTTGGCTCAATGATCCCCGACACACACCCCCACTTGGGAATGGAATGGGGCGCGGCCTGACTGCCTGCCAGGCCACCCCAGCCCAGCCCGAAGACCAGAATTGTTTTTGTCCAGCGATCCCCGACCCTCCCCCCACTGGAAATGGACCCAGGCATGCGACGTCCTGATGTTTTCGGCGCGGCGTCCCCGAAGTCCCGACCCTTTCCCCGGGGTCGGCTTTTCATCCTGAGTCGTTGTTTGACGCTCCCTGGAGCCGGCGAGGGCCCCCAGGTGTCGAACATGGCAAACAACTGGCCGTCTTGATTTTTTTTCACGGCGCGATCGTGTGTGGGGAGGGCAAATCGGGGCCTTCGGGTTGGGTTGGGGTGGTCTGGTGGGCGGTTGCGGCCCCGCGGCCGCGGCCGGAGCGGCCGCGTTGCGGAGGTGGGCCGCGCTGGCGGTGTCGCGAGGCTCGTCCCCGCCCCGCGCCCTCGCGGCTCGCCTCGGCCGCACGTGCTGCTGCCGGTCCCTGCACTCCTCCTGGCGACGCCATGCTGCAGCGTGGGGGCTGACGCCACAGGAAGGCCCAATTGTCAGGTCGGGCAGGTCCTCCCACAAGCGGGTGTGGTTCCGGAAGGAACGCGACAAGTATAGTCAAAACAAGATCCAAACATCCTTGGAGAATCGTCCCCAAACTATCTGTTGACTACTTTTGTTGACTAATCCCCCTGTGCGTAAAAGTATACGCCCGACTTTTAAAACCCTGCCAGGACATGGCGTCCTCGGCCCTCCCAGGACGTGGCGCCCCGCCGTTCCTTCCTGCTGCTGCTGGGCGCCGCCGGGGGCCCCCGCCGCGGGGCGCGGCCGCGGGCTCCTGGCACTCGTCCATCTCGAGAACCCACTCGTACGGCACGCCGGCCTGACGGCGGCGGCGAGCGGCGCCAAGACGTCGGCGATGGCGGTGACGATGACGGCGGCGCCGATGCCGGTGACGGTGGTGGTGGTGGCGATGACGACAGTGATGGTGGTGATGGTGGCGACGATGGTGATGCTGATGTTTCTTTTTGTTCCGACTCAGCGGCGATATTGTGCCAGCATTGTTAGATGTGGTAGCATTGCGACGCCTACTGCGAAGTGGGTGGTGGAAACTATCAACTGCACATAGCGTCAAGCAGCGGGGGGTTTTGGCGCAAGTCGCTTGAAATAGGTGTCGAAGGCTGGACTGTTCACCGCTGTCGTACGTAATCGGCGTCCGTGTTTCTAAAGCTTCAGAACCTCCTGCACGAATGCTCGGTTGAAGGCTGCCACCTGCTCGTCAGGTTCCTCCCGGTCGCGGAAATGAAACGCCCTCGTGGCCTTCGTATCAGTAGGTTCCGCTCTGACTTCTGCGTTACACATGGCGGGTTCTGCAAACCCTGAACCCAAACATGTTGTCATCTCTCTGGGCGCATCTATATTTCCGCCGTCTTCCGACGCCACTCCGCCGGCGGAGCCGGTTCCAGTTTACTTCCGCCGCCTTCCGCTGCCCTTTCCGCCGCCTTCCGCAGAGGAAGCAACGGCAACTCCTTCAATTCTCGAAGGCGAAACCACTTCTGGAACGCCTCACGTAGTCACCCCCAAGTCCCGTGGTTCGCTCTTCCTTGCATGCACGTTGCTGCTGACGGCGTCCAGGTGAAGGACACCGCGTCCCCGACCCGAAGAGCGTTCATTTCTCTTTTCCCGAAGTAGGCATCGCAATCAAACTCGCGCTGTAGCCACGCATTTTCTACGAAGCCGTAGGCGTAGCGGCAGTTGGCCCACTTGACGCGCCCTGGTAGAATGTCGAATGGCAGTGGTAGCACTTCTGGTGGATCTCGTAGCTTCGCTTGCGGCCCTCATAGCGCAGCATCAGCTGGTGGCTCCCGAAGCTCAATGGTTGGTCCTTGTAGCCGTGCGCGTGGCCTTTGTAACCTGGCTTATGGTCCTCGATGTTTACTGGTGACCCCCACAGCTAGGCTGAAGGCTCTCGAAGGACAGCCTGTGGCCCTGGTAGCTCCGCTCGTGGCTGTCGCATCTAAGCGAGTGGTTCTAGTAGCTCAACCTGTGACCCCTGTAGCTCTGCTGGTAGCTCTCCTAACTCAGCTGGTGGCTCTCGGGGCTGTGCTTGCGGGCCTCGTAGCTGAGCTTGCTGCCCTCGCAGCTCATCAGGTGGTCTGCGCTGTTGTGCTGAAAGCTCTCGAGGCTCCACACGGAGCTCATGTAGTCCAGCTGGTGGCAAACGTAATTCCGCTGGAGACTCCCGTAGCTCGACATGTGTTCCGCGCCGCTCTGCTCGAGGCCCGCGCTGCTTAGCTGGTGGCTCTCGCAGCTCAACCGGCGGTCCTCGTCGCCCTGCGCGTGGCCTTGGCAAACCAGCTTGTGGTCCTCGTTGCTCAGCTGGTTGCCCGCGTAGCTGAGGTGGAAGTTCTGGTAGGTCCGCCTGTGGCCCTGGTAGCTCCGCTGATGGCTCCCGTAGCTGAGTAGGTGGCCCTGGTAGCTCCTGAGGTGGCTTTCGCAGTTCAGCTGGTGCCTCCGGTAGCCCAGTTGGTGGTCCTCGCAGCTCTGCCTGTAGATGTAGTAGTTCAGCTGGTGGCCCTCGTGGTGCAGTTGGTGGTCATCGTTGCCCTTCTTGTGGCAATTCTGATTCATTTTGCGACCCTCGTGGCTCCGTTGGTGGTCCTCGGGGCCCTGCACGTGGCCCCCGTAGTTGAGCTTGCGGCCCTCGTAGCTCTGGAAGTGGCTCTCGTAGCTGCGCCTGTGGTCGTCGTAATCCAGCTTGTGGTATTCGAAGGTCCGCTGGTGGTCTTGCTAGCTCTGCTGGTGGTTATAGTATTTGAGCTTGTGGCCTTCGTAGCCGTACTTGCGGCTCCCGAAACTCAGCGGATGGGTCTCGTAATTCTACCTGTGGCTCTCGAAGCTCTGCGGGCATTGCGGGCACTGTTGTGAATCATTTGTGGGCCGAAGTTCGTGAAATCCCACCAGCCATCTGGGCGTAGGTGGTCTTGGGAAGTTCCTCTTCCAACTTCCTTTCTTCCCCTCCGGGGCTGGATTGGGCGGCGAGGCGTTGGAGCGCCCAAGACGGCCCAAGACGGTTCCAACAGGGCCCCGGGGAGTCCCAGATGAGCTCCAAGATGACTCAAGATAGCGCACGATGCCTCAAGATGGCTTCCAAGATGCTCCAAGAGGGCACAAGAACGTTCCAAGACGGCTCTAAGAGGCCTCCGAGACCTCCGAGGAGGCCCCCAAGAAGCCAAAATCACTGGTTGTTGTTTTCTCGCCGTTTCGCTTCCGATGGCCACCCGAGGCCTCAAGATGGTTCCAAGATGGCCCAAGAGGGCCCCGGGAGAGACCCAAGAGAGCCCCAAGGCGGCTCCAAGAGCGCCCAAAAGCGTTCCAAGAGCACCCCAAACGCGCCCCAAGGTGACTTATGGAGCTCCCCAGGGGTTGGGGTTCCTCGCTGCGCAGCCTGGATGCCCTACTCGTGCTCGTACAGTCGGGGCGTTGACCTACGGAACCCTAAATAAGTAGCGAGGCCCCTTTTATCCATAAGTTCATCTTCGGCTTCCCATCGAAAACCTAAGGCAGGCGAGCTGTGAAGCAATCAAGGAGCCCCTAGCCCCTCCCCAACGAAAAGGGTTCCTTCTTCAGCGCCCCGACTGTACGCCTGGCCCGGGAAGCACTCGAGGAGTACGTCCACCCTGCACGGCCTCCTCTCGACGTCGGAGCCCACGAGGTCAGAGTCGGAGCCCTCGGCTGCCAGGTCGCGGTGCTCCACGGTAGGGGGGGGGCAGCGCCACGCAGGAGATTGTACTGGTCACTCGTAGGTGGCTCGGTCGGTGGCCCTGGTGCCACAGGTGGTGGTCCTCGACGCTCGGTTGGTGGTGCTCGAAGGTCAGCTGGCGGCCCACGAGGCGCAGCTGGCGGTTCTCCCTTTGCTGCTGGGGGGCCCTCGTGGCACACAGCATGGTTCCGGGGGCTCTGGTTCTTGCCTTCGTAGCTCTGCTGGCGGCGCAGGTCGCGTAGCAGGTTGCTCGGGTAGCTCTGCTCGTGGCACTCGCAACTCTACTTGTAGCCCTCGTAACTCTAGTGGCAGGGTCAGGAAGCCGTCTGTGGCGTGTTTGTCGTAACCGTTGTACTCACCGTGCCCGTTATATACATCGTAGTCGTACTCGTCGTATCCGGCGCGGCCGTTGTCGACCAATGTTTCCACGCCGGCGTACTTCGTAACTCCTTCGGGCTGCTCGGACGTGTCATTCCTGGGGTCGATCTCGGTGGAGTACTTAATGTATTCATGGTGGTGGTGTTCGTCCTCGAGCTGCCTGTCGCGCAGCTCCTTATCGTACTTGGTTGCCTGTTGCGCAGCTCGTTCTGGTACTTGGGCTGCATGTTACGCAGATCGTGCCTGGACGCCCTCGCGAGGGCGGTCGTAGTGATGAGAATCACGTCGCCGGATCGAGGCGGACGCTGTACCCAACTCGTTTCTGCTCGCGCCCGTGTTCCTCTATGCGAGCATGGGCTCGACATACTTGCACGTAGGTCTCCACCAAAAAGCCAAGGTGGGTCGGTCTCGTGGTCCCTAGATCCGCTGTCGTGCCATTCGGCACGGAGCAGGCGTGTCCTCAGGTCCGTTGCCTGAGGCTCCCGGAGGTTTTTACGGGGTCCGGGCCCAAACTTGCCACATCTCCTTTTGTTTGCCGCGTGCCTCGCCAGCCGTGGCGCAGATTTCCGCGCAACTCTCTCGAAGCCGAAGAGGGGCCCCCAGAAGGGCCGAGAGGCCCGCCGGAGACCGTCCAGACGGTCCAAGAGGGCCCCACATCGCCGACAGATCGCCCTAAGACGCCCAAGATGGCTTCAAGACGGTCCAACAGAGCCCGAAGAGGCCCTCCAAGAGGGCCCCACTGGCCCACGGGGCCCAACAAATGTGTGTATGTATATATATATATATAAATATATACACACGATTTGCGTCTTTGGAAGTGTTCGACCTTGTCACCTTTTCGGCTTCTCGACGCTCCAACGCGGCCCGAGAAGTCTCTAAGACCGCTCCAACACGGCCGAAGAGGCCCGCAGGAGGCCCCCCAAACGGCCCAGGACGGCCCCAAGCTGGCCCAAGAGGCGCCCAAGATGGCCCAAGCGGGCCCCAAGACGGCCCCGAGAGGTCCAAGAGGCGGACCACGAACCGAAAATTCAAGCATTCCGCCTCAAGAGGGCCACAAGAGGCTCCAAGAAGCACCCAAGAGGCCCCAAGAGGCCACCAAGCGGCCCCAAGAGGCCCACAAGAGGCCCCGAGAGGCCCCCAAACAGCCCCCGAGATGCTTCAGAAGTGCCTCCAAGAGGCCCCCTAGAGGCCCCGCACGAGATCTCAACGAACGTCCACAGAGCCTCAGACCCACAACGCAGACACGGTAGCGGGATATGCCAAAGGCCATTAGAGGATATGGTACAGGCTGAAGGCGTCTGCCTTGTGACTCCACAAGTGGCACCTTCGCCCCATGGCTGCGCCCGCTGACCGCGGCAGCGGTTGGGGACTGAGGCCGGGGCATGTATCCCGCATGTGGCCTTCGTGCTCCTCCTCCTCCTCCTGCTCAGCATCATCACCATAAACATCAGCATTCACAACCGCCTCCTCCTCCTCCTCATCATCCTTCTTCATGGTCATGAGCATCATCACCATCAGCAGCAGCAACAGCAGCAGCACCGTACTCCATGCCTCATCATCTTAATCCTCGGCTCTCCTCCTCCATCCTTCTCCACCGTCCTCCTCCTCCTCCTCCTCCTCCTCCTCCTCCTCCTCCTCCTCCTCCACGTCCATCTTCACTCCTTCTCCTCCTCCTCCTCCTCACTTCTCCTCCTCGCTCTCCAACACCATCCTCCTCACTCATCTTCCATCCTCCTCCTACGCCCAATCCTTAACCCTTGCCGCCTCGTCGTCGTCGCCGCTGCCGCCGCAGCCTGCCCGGGGGAGGGAGCGGCAAACTGGGCCTCCGCGAGCAGCACGTTCATCTGGCCGGGCATGCGCCCTGGCAGCAGTTTCGCGCTGACGCCGCGGACGACACCAACGACGAAACCGACGCCGCCGACGACGACGACGATAAAGGTGATAACGCTGCCGACGGCACCGACGAATACGGTGACGATGATGCCGATGATGAAACTGATGGAGACAACGCCGACGACGACTCGATACCGACGCCCCCGACGACGACTATGACGTCAACGCCGAAGACGATGCCGACGCCGAAGATGCCGCCGACCATGGCACCAACGCTTACGTCGATGCCGATAACAACAAATGGCGCCCACGACGGCGACGGAGGACGATGACGCCGACGCCGGCCGCGACAGCTGAGTGCTGCCCGCGCCCTCGGACCTCGAAGCCTTGGGCTAGCAGGCGCTTAGGTTCTTCGGAAGGGGACTCCCGTCGCCACGGCTGGGCGAGGTTCGAGAAAATCGCCAACGTGAGCGGCCACAGAGGAGGAGGAGGCGGAGGAGGAGGGGGGGGGGAGGAGGAGGAGGAGGAGGAGGGAGGAGGAGGAGAGGAGGGAGGAGGAGGAGGAGGAGGAGGAGAGGAGGAGGAGGAGGAGGAGGAGGCGGAGGAGGAGGAGGGGAGGAGGAGGCGGAGGAGGAGGAGAGGAGGAGGAGGAGGAGGGGGGACTCTTGCGCGACTTTGGCACAGCGACCTCACGCCGCGGCTGACGCGCGCCGCCTGCGCGGCGCGCTGCGCTGGCGACGAGGGCAGCTGGAGCGCCGGTGCCGGCGCAGACGGCCCAGCTTTTTTTCGCGTCGCCCATATCGGACCCAGGGACAGGCCCGGGGTCTGGGCACCGACCCTACGCGGACGTGGGGTGCTCGCCCTGGGCCAGCGGAGAGCCCTTCGGAGCTTGTCGGTGGGTGCTTGCTCTCCCCCTAGCCCTGCCTTCCTGTCCCACTCCTGCCCCCTCTCCTTCCTCTCCCTCCCCTGCCTCTCTGACACTCGTCTTACCCTCCTCCTGCTCCTCCTCCTCCTCCTGCTCCTCCTCCTTCTCCTCCTCCTCCTCATCATCCTTCTCCTCCTCTTCTCCCCCGCCCCCCTCCGCCTCTTCCGCCCCCTCTGCCCCTCTGACTCTCCTCCTTGTCCTCCTCCTCTTCTTCTTTCTCCTCCATCTCCTCCTCCTCCTCCTCCTCCTCCTCCTCCTCCTCCTCCTCCTCCTCATCCTCCTGACACATACACACACGCACACATCCTGAAGACAACTGAGCTCAATGGGCGCAAGCTACCGAAAGAATAAGAGAGCAGTAACGGTGACGATGACGAGACGGGAACTAACCTTGAAGGGAGTGGCCCCTGAAATCCGCAATCATCACGCGACCCAAGTAGGGATCTAAGGGCAAATAGAAGTCCTCCTCCTCCTCCTCCATCCATCCTGCGCCTCCGCCTCTTCCTCCTCCTCCTCATCCTCCTCCCCCTCCTCATACTCCTCCTCCTCCTCCTCCTCCTCCACCACCTCCTCCTCATCCTCCTCCTCCCCTCCTCCTCCTGCTCCTCCTCCTCCTCCTCTTCCTCATCCTCTTCCTTCCTCCTTCTCCCCCTTCCCTCCTCCTCCTCCTCCTCCTCCTCCTCCTCCTCCCCATCATCATCATCATCATCATCATCATCATCATCATCATCATCAGCATCATCATCATCAGCAGCAGCAGCAGCATCATCACCATCCTTAACAACATCATCATCAGCAATTGCAACAACAGCATTTGCACCATCGTTTTCACCATCACCATCACCGTCACCTTCACCATCAGTAGCATCATCAGCAGCAGCAGCATCGTCATCATCATCAGCACCATCATCACCATCATCATCATCATCATCATCATGATCAACATCATCATCAGCAGCTTCATCATCACCAGCATCACCAGCAGCAGCAACATCATCATCATCAGCAGCATCAGCATCAGCAACCGTCCGTGCTACCACCATCATCATCAGCAGCAGCAAGGCGATCACCATCACCATCATCACCACCGCCCGTGCAAACATTATCATCACCATCATCATCATCATCGTGGTCGTCGTCGTCGACGTCAGCAGCATCATCATCGTCACCATCATCATCATAAACATAATCAGCATCAGCATCAATAGCAACACCAGCATCACCATCATCATCAACATCATCATCATCATCATCATCATCATCATTCTCACCACCATCAACCAGCAGCATCAGCATCGCCATCAACATCATCCTCATCCCCATCCCAACCCACATCCTCATCATTATCATCAGCAGCAGCAGCGACAGCAACAGCAGCAGCCGCATTTAAAACACAATCCTCACCATCTCTCCGTTGGTATATTCATCATCGGCATCATCCTCCTCACCATCATCAACATCATCGCCATCACAATTGCCATCACCACCGCCATCATCAGCATCACCATCATCATCAGCAGCATCAACACAGTCCTGGCAACCACCGTCATCACTATCATCAACAACATCATCGTCACCATCACCATCGACCGTTCAAACACCGTCGACATCACCACCACCACCACCACCACCATCATCATCATCATCATCATCATCATCATCATCATCATCATCATCATCATCATTACCATCATCATTACCATCATCATCATCATCATCATCATCATCATCATAGATGTCGTCGTCGTCGCCATCATCGGCATCATCCTCAGCAGCAACATCAGCATCATCATTATCGTCATCCTCATCAGCACCACTATCATTAGCATCATCATCACCACCGCTGGCACCGTCATCATCACCATCCCAATCACCATCATCATCATCATCATCATCATCATCATCATCAAGAACATCACCAACATCATCGAAAGCGTCATCACCGCCAGCGTGATCAGCATCGTCGTCACCACCATCATCAACATCAGCAGCATCATCACCATCATCAACAACGGCAGTTTCAACATCATCGGAATCATCAGCATCCTCATCGTCATAATCACCATAAACATCCTCATTACCATCGTCATAACCATCGCCACCAACATCATCATCATCCTCATCATCAGCATCACCGTCACCAACAGCATCCTCGTAATCACCATCATCATCCGCATCATCATTGTCGTCGTCGGCGACGACGTCGTCGCCAACACCATCGGCATCGTCATCGTCATCGTCATCCGCACCATCAGCCTCAGCATCATCATCATCATCATCACCATCATCATCACCACCATCCGCATCACGATCATCACCCTCATCCTCTTATTCCTTCTCCTACTCCTACTCTTTCGCCTCCGCATCCACCTCCGACGCCTCCACCTCATCATCATCATCATCATCATCATCATCATCATAATCCTCCTCCTCCTCCTGTCCCTCCTCCCCGTTTATCCTATTCCTCCTCCTCCTCCTCCTCATCCTCATCCTCCTCCTCCCCCTCCTGATCGTCCTCCTCCTGCGTCTCCTCATAAATATATGTATATATATATATACATGTATCAATTCATGTGTATATGTGTATACATATATATATATATACACCGCAGGTTGGGGGTGAGTCCGACGTGAAACGGAGACCCCCCATACCGGGAAATCGATTTCGGTTTCGGGTTCGTGTCGTGCGTGCCGTGCGCGCGTGTGGGCGAGGCAAAGCTGCGTGGGCGGGCAAGAGGAAATCCTCCTGTGG